CACAGACACGTGACATGAGCACACATTATTGGAGAAATGATGCTGATGATTTTGCTTGACTCAATGTTACCACAAATCTTTAATTTGTAAAACATGCAGTATCTGCAAAGGGCAATAAAGAAAAGCACAATAATGTGGTATGCCTGTACTCAATAAAAGATAAATAAATTTTAACTAAATAAATGGAATTGAGCTGGGAGACAGTCCCCAGGATATGCCAATGATATCAAACATGTATTCATTTTTGCCAGTGGAACTCTTTTTAGATAAGCTACTAGTCATCAATCCTCTGATTATCATCATCAAAATTGATTTAGCACAATCTCAATGTCTTAATGACACACTGTCACAACTCCAGTGCCTATAGAAGAGCGACAACTCAAAAACAAATTCACATTTCCAGATCACACAAAAACAGAAAAATAACTTCACTCAAAGCTAATAACCTCAGAGGAAGGCAAGAACAACTGCATCTGGGAAAAGAAGAAAAAACAAGTGTTTAATTATTACAATAAACTATAACACTTTCGCGTCCAAGATATAACAGTACAAAGGGCTGGAATACGTGGATGCTAATGCTCAGATGGTCAAAACAGCATGGTTCATTCTTTTCTCCAATTACTTATTATTAAGAGCTGCATAGACACTGTGTAATCCTCCAACTTTTATGTTTTTCTTCTTTTGTTTTTTTGTTTGGCTATTTGAATTAACATTTTGTGTAACTGAATTGTAAATGATCAAGAATTACCCAGAGAAGCAAAATTATTGAGAGATAGTCTCAGAGAAGAAATTATATCACTTATGATTTATCATATTATAAAATATCAGTTTCTATTTCTCATTAGAAACAGAAGAACCTGGTAAAATACCGTTTCTATATTCTACATAAGAATTTTGAAGTATTCTACAGCTTAAAATTTTCTTTTCTATATGCATTACAGTGTCTGAGAAAAGTTATATGGTACTTGATTTATTTCATAGAATGTATGTTTAAAAAAGTTATACATTTCCCTCAGAAAAAAAACTCTTTTGGGGTAGACCAATGTATACTTGACTGCAGAAATATACTCTATTTATTCTCAAGAGCTGCTCTCAAATACTATAAGATTAATACTATAAGATGAATTACTATGAGATTAATACTATAAGATTACTGACTTTACAGTTGTGAATATTGACTAGCATTGTGGGAACTAATAATTTACTGACTTCAGTCTTTGGTCTGTTTTGTTAAAATTTCATACGTCATCTTAATACAGATCAGATGGTCTTAAATACAAGTGAAGATTTCATCTAATAGACAGATTTGACAAGATGTCATGTAATGTTAATTCTAAGTTATTAAGATTTTGACAGAAAATTATAGGATGTGACAGCTGGAAAGGACCTTAGAGAGCTTCTCATCTAAACTCATTGTCTTAAAAGATATCCAGAAAGGCAGAGTGACTGGTCCAAATTTTTGCAGTGAATTGATGGAGCCAAGGCTGAAAGCCAGATCTCTTCACACCTTGTCTAATATTCCTCCATGGCTATGCCATGGTTCTATATGAAACTCCTTGAATGGAGAAGAGGAATGGATGTAAATCAACTTAGGGCATTTGGTATAAGTTTGTTTGATGAGATCAAACTAAGACAAGGATGAGATAAATAAATTGTGGGACCACTGGGATGAAGAGAGTGACTAGGCCAGGCATGGTGGCTCATGTCTGTAATCCCGGTATTTTGGGAGGCCAAGGTAGGAGGAACACTTGAGGCCAGGGATTCAAAACTAGCGTGGGCAGCATAGGGAGACCCCTGTATCTACAAAAGAATTTAAAATAGCCAGGTGTGTTGGTGTGAGCCTGTGGTCCTCGCTATTCAGGAAATCAAGGTAGGAAGATAGTTTGAATCCAGGAGCTCAAGGTTGCAAATTTTGTGATCACACCACTGCACTCCAACCTGGGCTACAGAGTGAGACCCTGCCTCTAAAAGAACAAAGAAAGAGAGTGACTAGGTACTTTATTTTCTTTCGCTTTAATGTTTCTAAACAAGTGACTAAGAAGTTTAGCATAGCCATGGGATCAAATATAAAGGACATATACATTATTCATTGTTAAAACTACCAAATCCTGAGCTCTTGAGAGATGGAGACACATTCCATCATTAATGGGAATAAGTACAATTCAAACTTTAAAGGACTGTGAAAATTAACACATAATTATAAATTAACAACATAATCACAAACATACAAAAAATAAACTGTGCTTGTTTTCACTTATAATTTTATATCAATCCTAGATTGATGTTATAATGAGAAATGTCTTGGTCTGCATGAAGATTTCTAACCTGATCAGTAATAATGGCTGTTATTACTTATCATTCAACACGTGGCAGGTGATCTGGTACCATGTATAGTATCTCATTTATTTTAATTTTTAAAATGATAAATCGATGACATAGAAAACTTATGGAACCTGTTCAAAGTTACAGTTTGAGGTTGTAAATATTGGTTTAAAATCCTGGCATTCTCACTCTAGAATTCTTGTATTTAATTGCTTCCTCATACCAAACGTTGATATTCCACCCTCTGGTGGTTAGGAGGTGCCACTGCAGCTGAAATCATTTCAGGTGAATGATTTCAAGACCAGGAGAGACCAGGAAATTGTTAAACCCTTTAGAAGCAAGAGTATCCAGTGACTGTATGCAATAGGTAACCAGTTCTATCTAGTTCTCAAGAATGCCAGCAAATAAACTACATAATTATTATTTTTCAATTGCTTACAAAGCTAATACTCAGTTTTTAGTAGGCTACATGTAAACAATTCCAAGGTGACCAGTTGCTCTAGCCTACATCATTCCATAGGTAACTCCCTCTATAAATCCAGCAACAACCAAAATCTGTGTTTACTAATTGAATTAAAAATATATATACTGAAACACTTATTAATTTGGCACTCACTTAAATAAAATGAACTAGCTATTGCCTCATTCCAAAGAGAAAATAACTCATGGAGTGGCCTTATTCACAAATGACAGACTTAACATCACCATATAAAATTTGAAGGGACTGCACAAGTACTCACTAACTGACTGCGCATTGTGAAATTAATAAGAAGGCTGCTGGCTGGAGACGGTTCTGCAAATTCCAGGCTATATGGTGTCCTGCCTATGCCTACACAATTTGGTAAGAGGACTCTGCGTTGACATTGAAAACTGGTTTCAATTTCCATGTTAAAAACATACCAACACAGTCAGGCACAGTGGCTCACGCCTGTAATCCCAGCACTTTTGGAGGCCATGACGGGTGGATCACCTGAGGTCAGGAGTTCGAGATAAGTGTGGCCAACACGGTGAAATCCTGTCTCTACTAAATATACAAAAATTAGTCGAATGTGGTGGCACCTGACTGTAATCACAGCTACTTGAGAGGCCGTGGCAGGAGAATCGCTTGAACCTGGGAGGCAGAGGTTTCAGTGAGCTGAGATCACGCCACTGCACTCTAGCCTGGGCAACAGAGCAAGACTCCAGAAAATAAAAGGAAAAAAGAAAGAAAAGAAAAAGAAATAGGCCATGGACAGGTCTTTTAAAATGCTGTAGGATAGGTTAAAAGAAAAGGATCTTATTCTAAGAACAATGAGACTCAATTTGGTATCTTTAAGCAATGAAGTCACAAGCTATAATGAAGCTTCCATGCAATAATAAATACAAATATGTGTAAGAATCAAATGGGTGGCTGTAGGGTTCATGTGGAGGGCACAGTGAGATTTTTAGACATATAAATGTGGTCATTCAAAATTATAAATGACTTGCATGTGTTACAAAGATATTGTATACAAGATGAGTGTGCAGCCTATAAAGCTGAATGTATTCAAATGTGCCCTTTTAAATATATAATATCCTCAGTCTTTCACGTATCATGGAAGTGTTTCCATAAGAGTTACTGAGAATTGCTGAATGTTCTAGGGCTTCTTCAGAGCTCTGAAAGGGAGTCTAGGATACTGCAATAAGAATATACTTTTAGTATCATTAGCTGAGCCAAGTATATTATAGAATATGTTACAGAAATTGTGCTGGTCAGTTCTGTGCTATGAGTATGAAACTACGCTAAGTACAATGCACCAATGCAATGAACATAGGAGCTGATCATCTGTCTACAGTCAGTAAACAAAAAGCAGAATAGAGTAAGATGAAAAACACATCTGAAGCACATTTGTCATAAACGAAAATGAACAACTTTTGAGAAGCACAAACACAAGCAAACACACCACTTTGCAAAGTATAGAGAAAAGGAATTAAATCCATTAGTAATTCAGAAAAGGAAGTAATAACTCCTCAGTGGAAAGATGGGGAAAGACTTCAGAAAAGGAAGCATTTAAACTTGACTTTTAAGGAGATGAGGTAAACAAATGCTAGGCAAAAGACAAGTGTTTATAGGGCAATGGCCTCCTTCAGTACTGTGTGTGAACAGTGAGAGGCAATGTCACCACAGAGTCCTCTCACATTCTGGTCCACTGGAGAGAACAAGATCTAAGTGGAATGAGATTGGACTCAACTGGGTCCAATTCTAACTTAAAATGTCTTGAACATCAGATGACCACATTCTGCTACATTGGCAGCTCTCAAAACTAGAGCTAAATGTTAATCGGCATTCAATTGGCCACTGCCTCATGCATTTCTCGTTGTCCACCTACCAATGTACGGAGTCATGGTGGGTAAAAAAAAGTGTTAGCTTGGGTGAACAGGTTTAGACTCTCATTTGACCAACCCCACCTTGAATGATTTATCTTTAGAGCTAACATAAAAGCCATTTTGAAGATTCAAAATGGACTTACATCTTTGTTAATAAGTCATAATCTTCATATATAACCAAAGTGCTAATGAGATGTTATCCTTCAAATTAGTTTAAGCAACGAGTTGCAAAGATGTCTTGAGAAGAAGCCAACACCCAGGTTTCTGAGTATATAATCGCCCCAGCAGAGAATTTCATTTTTGAACTCAGTATGTTGAGTCCTTATGACCAACTTTAAGAATTTTAGCAATATGCCTCATAGCCACTGCCATTCACTCAGGAGCTTCCACAATGCTCCACCACTCTCTGCCATCATACATGGTGCTAATCCTGTAAGTTTTGAAGATGGATTTTGTTTGCCCAGCAGCTTCCATAGCAGAACCTGGCTCCTGAACAACTTTCAAGAAACCTGCAATGAAACCACCAGCTGCCAAATGACTAACTGTGAACAGGACTTGCTCACAGAAGAGAGCTGTGCGCAAAGTACCTGCCTCCCCGGAGTTGTCCAAACAACTTACTCCAATTCCAAGCCCTGTGAAAGGTCAGCACCCCAATCAGAAAGTTCTTCATCAGGATTGGCTTGTGTTTCTCAGCTCTGCCAATCAGGAAGCATTCAGCAGATGGGATCTGTAGGCCCGAGTCGCCAGCCTGCAAGCCTCGAGGGAAAGTGTTGCCTACCCAAGACTTCTGAGTCTAAAAGTTGCCAAACTCTGGAATGTCTATCTAACCAATGTCAGCCTCAGAACCCTGAATCCAGTTCCTGTAGACCTCTGGTCAGTGTTGCACCTGAGCCACAACTCCTGGAATCTTCTTCCAGCACTTCTGAACCTACTTGCTGTGTTACTGGTGGTTTTCCATTGCCTAGTAAGTGAAGATCTGTGGAGGAGGTGCGGTATTCTCATTTGGATGAATTTAATTTTGAGATACTTAGGTATTTTGTATTTCTTTAGATACAAAATTTTGTATGTGTGCTTGTAAGTAAATGAACATGTCTTTACCACTGTCTCCAAAGACAAGATTTTTTCGTTGTTGTTGTTCTTTGGGGTATGCCTGCTGGTAATCTGGGGTTGGAAAGCATGCTAACTACTTTAGAACGCTAGGATACTATTTTAATAAAGCAATGAGTTGTAGCCAGGAAATAACATGAATACTTAAAGGAAATATCACACTTTGACTACCAGTTGTTTTCTCTGGAAATACTTAGCACTGGATCTGGTTTATTAACTAATGTGCTACTAGTATCAGAAATTCATAAAATATTGGAATTAAAGCAAATCTAAAAGCCTACCTAGTTCTGTGAATTATGATAAGTTCAAACCTATCAGAGGTTGCCCAAGTAGTTAATAACATCAGAACCACAACTAAAATCTAGGCCTACCTACCGGCCATCTGTATTTTAGACATTGAATCAGAACATTCTTAAATTAACTATAAGATTAAGTCTATTGCTTGAAAAGCATGAGATAATTTTGAATTTTACCTCCATGGACTTTATAACCATGTAGCAACCAGAAGCTTTTAAATAGAATGAACTGAAGTTTAGCATCTTCACTTCATTTCATTACTGCTGTTTTTTTTTTTTTTTCCTGTTTTCATTATCTCTTAAGTATTTTTTGAATTTGGAAAATATTTTTGTATTAAATAAATTTGCTTTGGTAGCAAAATTTGGACTTGGCACAATTATTTTTATTTAATCCTTTTGTGGGTGTTACATTACAGGGTTTTTGTTTCTTTGTTACATAATGAAAATAGTATAAATATTTTGAAGTAAAGAGAACATACCCTCTTGTTATAACTTTTATAGCGTGAACAAGAAAAGAATAACTCATAGCAGTAATCAACAGAAGGTGGAAATTTTACTTATATGAAGATCATAAGACCACAGAGTCAGAATGTGTGAAATTGATTACTTTTATTAGGTTAGCTATTCTGAAACTTTGAGTGTGCTCTTAAATAGATCCCTAATTTTTTCAGGGCAAAATAAGGTAGTAGTTGAGAGCATGAGTTTTGAAGGTGGATTTCCTTGAGTTGGAATCTTAGCTTTGCTTGGTGATGGCTGTTTAAATTCTGGGTGTGTGACTGTGTGCAAGTTATTTTTTTTTATTGCATTTTAGGTTTTGGGGTACATGTGAAGAACATGCAAGATTGTTGCATAGGTACACACATGGCAGTGTGGTTTGCTGCCTTCCTTCCCCTCACCTGTATCTGTCATTTCTCCCCATGCTATCTCTTCCCACCTCCCCACCCCCCATCTCTCCCCCATTTCCCCCCAACGGACCCCAGTGTGTAGTGCTGCCCTCCCTGTGTCCGCGTGTTCTCATTGTTCAACACCCGCCTATGAGTGAGAACATGAGATGTTTGATTTTCTGCTCTTGTGTCAGTTTGCTGAGAATGATGGTTTCCAGGTTCATCCATGTCCCTACAAAGGACGTGAACTTATTTAACCACCTCAGTTTCTTCAACTTCAAGAGTGAAGTGATAATGATAGTGCTACTGTGAGCCTTACTAAGTTAATATATTAAAGATGTGAGGCTTAAAAAATTACCATGTATATAGCAGATTTGGCAACTCAGCTAACTCAGAGACTCAGTATGGAGGAGGTAATGGGGATTTGTAAATAAACCCAGAAATCCATGACAGATTAGGAAAGCCAATAATCCAACAAAAGAAAGATTAACTGTTTTATATTTTGGAAGATGCAGACAGCATCATCTACTAAGGGAAGGAATTAAGAAACTCAAACTCTATTTAGTTGAGTGGATTGGCAAGTATCTCTGAATCTATGGCAAACCTAATGCTATTGATAATTTATCAGTTAGTTGTGCGGGTGGGTGCCATGGTAATTCTATGAATCGACATGACTGAGTCAAGGGCTACACAGATTAAGCATTATTTCTGAGTTTGTCTGTGAGAGTTGTCAGGGGAGATAAGCATTTAAATCAGTGTGCTCAGTAGATGACCCTCTCCAATGTGGATGGGAATCATTCAGTCTATGGAAGGCCTGAATAAAACAAAAGTTCAGGAGAAGAGAAATGTTCCCCTATTTGTTTCCTGCAAGCTACTTGAGCAAGGACATTGAATTTCTCCTGCCCGTAGACTGGATTTCTACCATTGGTTCCCCTGGTTCTCAGATCTTCACATTTAGACTGGAATTATAGCACTGGTTTCCTTAAGTTTCCAGGTTGCAGACGGCAGATCACAGGATTTCTTAGCCTCCATTATTGTGTGAGCGAATCATTCATGATAAATCACTCACACTCTCTCTCTTCATACACACACACATGCACGAATGCACGCATGCATGCACACACACACATATATATACACACACACGTATATGTGGTGAGATAAATAAATATACTATATATCTCTATCTATCTATCTATCTACCTACCTACCTTACTGGTTCTGTTTATGTAGCCCTGAATAATACAGTGGGCTAGACACAGGTCATCCCAATGGGGAAGATTTAAGCCTAAAATCTATAAACCACCACTTACACGGGTGCTCCATAGGATAGAATTGAGGGAAGTCTGAGAAAGGTCAAACACTATTCGATGCCATTGATAGTAACAGAGCCTGTGGCAGCCTCAATAGCAGAACATCCCTGAAGCAAACAATGTTGACATAAAGCTTCCATCCACAGCACTGATGACAGTAACACACCATTGACGACAGTAAAGACAGACTTCATCTCGTGGCAGCTTCTCAGGATTCTAGTCACAGCCAATCATGTGAACATAGATCAAGTTTATTCACAATGAGGATTTTTACTAATACGATGCCAATTGGGTTGCCCAGAAAAAGCTCAATTCATTTGGGCCCCTGTTTCTAAAGACAAGACGGAAAACCTAGCCATTCCATGTGCCTTCCAAGTATATGTCACTTTACTGGGTGTAGCTTGCTGGGAAAGCAAGACTTGGGGAAAAACTGGCTCTGTGTGATATGTGTGTTGTGGGGCAGGGCAGTGCCAGGAGAGAGGGATATGGTGTTAAGTTTCACTTTCTCATCTACTCTGCTCATCATTCGAGACACTCCTTGAAGGAGAAGTTAGCTGAAGAAGGGGCCAGTATTTAATCTAGCTCAACATGGAGCACATTAGAGGACTCATAAAGAGAAATTATGTGAACTCAGGTACTTTTGATATTGAAACACTGAATGCCGTATTTATATACAGACACCTTGGTAGGAAATTTAGTGTAAGGAAAAGATCATGAGTCTTACAGTATGACTAGACCTTCCTCAATTCCAAATTCTGTCCATTAAAAGCTATATGCCCTAGGATTCTGGGATAAATTAACATTCTTTTTATTTTTTTTTTTTTTGAGACAGAATCTCACTTTACTGCTCAGGCTGGAGGGCAGTAGTGGGATGTTGGCTCACTGAAACCTCTGCCTCCCAGATTCAAGCAATTCTCATGCCTCAGCCTTCCAAGTAGCTGGAATTATAAGCACGGACCACCACACCAGGCTAATTTTTGTATTTTTTGGTAGAAGTGGGGTTTTACCATGTTGGCCAGGCTGGTCTCGAACTCCTGACCTCAAGTGATCTACCTGCCTCGGCCTTCCAAAGTGCTGGGATTACAGGCATGAGCCACTGCATCTGTCTCAAATTAACATTTCTGAGACTCAGTTCCATCATTGCAAAATGGAGATAATAATATTAAAGTCATTGGTGATTATCACAACTAAATGGCATGATTCCAATTAAATACTTAGTGGAGTGTTTGGCACATAATAAAAGTACATTATATGCTAGGTATCATTTGATAATTCATCTGATGTTTTTCTCTTGGCCTCAATTTCAGTTTGTTTTTGTGATTGTCTATAATACGTTTGAACTCCAAGGCAGAGAACAAGAAAATCTTTCCATTCCATGTAAAAAGGATATAAGCAGTATGGGATATAACCAGGATATTCCATGCAGGACTCACTTTCAAGAAATGTCAAAATGTACCAGTGGGTATATGCATGGTACAGATATTCTTCATAGACCAAGGGACTTCTTCCTATGTAAACAGAATAGTACGATTTGTACATTGGTATCCTAGACACTTCGAGACATTGGTTTAACCATGTTGTTCTCTTATAAGTCAAGCATAATGACTATCAAGAATGTTTTCTTGCCTATACCATGCTAAGTCAAGAGCCATAAAATAGCTCTTATTAATTGGGTGCTTATGATTTACCTAACACTTTGCACATATTTTATCATTTTAAACTCAAATTGCTCAATGGTAAGTAAGATTAGTAAATTCCCCTCTTTTCCAGTGAGGACAAAGGCAGAAATTTTTTCTGTGGTAGACAAGACTTTGTTCCATGTTAGATGATATTTACTCATATCTTTCTTTAAGCCATGATATCCTTTCCTAATTCTACTTCCTCTTTCTACTTTCAAGAGCCTTACTTACACCCTATTCTTTAATTTAAGTGACTTTTCCAATATGGGAAGTAATTGGTGAAACAAGGATTTTAATCCATGAATCTTTAAAGCTTGAGCATAACCCTTGACTACCTTAATTATGCTTTACTTATATTGTACTTCTAGTTATTAGAGTAGCTTCAAATGTGGGAGAAATGCCTGTGCTATGTGAAGAATGAGTACAAATAATTCGACTTAAAATGATTGGTCTGGTTATATTGTATTGTTGTAAGACTGCAGAGCAAACACCCAGAGAATGAAGTATTGTTGACTGGATGGTTCCTCTGTAACTCAAAAACAAATGCAATAAAGGAAATAAACATGTTTTCATTAAAGCTTGTAAAATATTATGCACTTGAAACATCTTTGAAAAGAACAAATACTAACTTCAAGCTGTGTAATCAATAGAGTAGTCTAGATGCTAGGAAAGGGATTTAGACAGCATGGAGCCAGACTCCTCTACAATGTATTATTG